ACAGAAGACTTAGATCACTATGAAATGAAAGAGGAAGAGCCAGCTGAGGGCAAGAAATCTGAAGATGATGGCATTGGAAAAGAAAACCTGGCCATCCTAGAGAAAATTAAAAAGAACCAGAGGCAAGATTACTTAAATGTACGTGCCTTCTAGGGAGAGGCTGGTGAAGGGGTTGGTGGAAAATGGCTGGGAAGTAGTAGGCTGTTGCATCTTAGTATGGAGAGAAGACTCCTTTTTGGGGGTATGCCTAATCCTTCCCTAAATCCTGGGTAAGCTGCCAGACTGCCCCTAAGGTCTAACGTGTGTTTATACACCACACGACCAAGGAATGTTCCTGTCATCCCTCCCTCACAGGGTGCAGTGTCTGGCTCGGTGCAGGCCACTGACCGGCTGATGAAGGAGCTCAGGGATATATACCGATCACAGAGTTTCAAAGGTGGTGAGTTTGGGCCAGAGAGGGGCCTGCACATGAGTCACCCATAAAGAGGGGTTTGGTGGCCTGGGGCCCCCAGAGGTCCTCGGATCCAGGAGTGCTTATGAACTTTTCAGGCCAAGGAGAATGGAGCTCTTCCAGCCAGTGGCTTGGTTGCATGTCCATCTGGGTCACCCTAGAGCTGTTGATCTTTTTCTCTCAGTCTGGAAAAGGAGTTTGCATTAGAGACTACTCACCACCTGGACCATCCTACTAACACCTGTCTTTTTCCTCCTTCCAGGAAACTATGCAGTCGAACTCGTGAATGACAGTCTGTATGATTGGAATGTCAAACTCCTCAAGTGAGTGGGGATTCTGGGATTGGAGAGGAAGTTGAGGAGTGTGAGTGGGGCTACTGTGGGATCTCCGGGGCAGCCCCATCCAGCATTTTGGTTCAGGGTCCCGGAGCCGGTGTGGGCAGTAATTTGGTGGTCTGCTGCTAGCCAGGGTAGGGACCTTATGAAGCTCCTGAGCCGGACCCAGGCAGCTGAGCCCAGGCTCGTTGCTTCATAGAGTTGACCAGGACAGCGCTTTGCACAACGATCTCCAGATCCTCAAAGAGAAAGAAGGAGCCGACTTCATCCTACTTAACTTTTCCTTTAAAGTAAGGCTTTTCCTTTCCAGTCACTCCCTCTGACCTCGCCGTCTGCCCGACAGTCCTATGGAGGATGCTGGCCTCCCTCCCCTGACTATCATCCCTCTCTCTGTCTCTCTCTCTCAGGATAACTTTCCCTTTGACCCACCATTTGTCAGGGTTGTGTCTCCAGTCCTCTCTGGAGGGTGAGTGGCTGGCATGCAGAAGAGGGCATCTCCTCTGGCTGAGGGTGGGGAAGGGACTTTGAGCTTTTGTCAGGCACAGCTGACTAACCTTTCTCATGCAGGTATGTTCTGGGCGGAGGGGCCATCTGCATGGAACTTCTCACCAAACAGGTGAGCCCGTCTCTCCTTGGCCAGGCCGCCCTGGGTGGAGGTTGGCTGAGCTTTACGGCACACACCCCTGCGGGCTGAGTGATAGGCAGTGATGTGGCCCTTTCATTCTGCTGGGCTGGGTCTGCACCCACTGACCTAGACAGGTGACAGTGCTGGGAGCAAAGGGCAAGGGTCGTCCTATATACCCAGCTGATTGCCGGGAGGACAAGTGTGAGCCTTCTCTGGAAGCTCCATCTGGACCTGCTTGCTTTGTTCCTCCCCTCACCCAGGGCTGGAGCAGTGCCTACTCCATAGAGTCAGTGATCATGCAGATCAGTGCCACACTGGTGAAGGGGAAAGCACGAGTGCAGTTTGGAGCCAACAAAGTAAGGATCCTGGGCCTGGGGCCGGTGGGGCTGGGTGAAGCCAAGTATACTTGGGGCCACTAGCAGGCCACGGCTGCTGCCTTTAGAGGAAGGAGAGCCTAAGGCCCCTGGGCTGGTGGCACTGGATGAGAGGGCCTAGGGTGCCCACGGTGGAACAACTGTGGTTTGGCCCCTAGGGGCACCCCTAGGACTTTTGGGAGGTTGTGGGTCTGGAAAAGGAAGACTGGGATTATGCCCCCAAGGGACCTCCTAGGTGGAAGGTACTTAAGTGTTTTACTAGACCACAGTGCTGGGAGCCAGGACTCCAGCGTTTCTGGGTGACAGCCTGCAGAAGGTGAGGGGCAGCTCACAGGCCACAGCTGGCCATGGCCTGATGATGTGTTGGCTTCCTCTCCCTAGTCTCAATACAGTCTGACAAGAGCACAGCAGTCCTACAAGTCCTTGGTGCAGATCCACGAAAAAAACGGTGAGACTGGAGCCAGGACTCAGGAGATTCGGACACTTGCCACGCCCAGGTTTTCACTTCCAGCCAGAGCAAGAACCCCTTTTTCTGGTTTCTGATACTTACCACCCATTAACACAGCACCTGCTCCAGTTCTCCCAGGAGGGGCTGGCAGTGGCTGGTGTTCACAACCTCTTCCAGAAACACACCAAAATGATCATATCACCGATAAGCTTGGCCGATAAGCTCCTCGGCCACCCTTTGAAAAGCTCATCTAACTCTCCCATCGTCTCAGGTTGGGCACATCATGCCCCTTTCTTTCTCATCTCCAGGTGTGCAGGTTCTTAGCTTCCCATACACCTCTCCCCACACCACGTAGCCTTTCCCCATATCCTCTAACCTCTGACACTGGAGACGTCTTCAGAGATTGGGGCGGGGCGGGGCAGGGCAGGGAGGGTGGGCCTGAACCTCCACCTCACTGATGGTTCCATTTCTTTGCAGGCTGGTACACACCCCCAAAGGAAGATGGCTAACCCTGGAGTATCACCCTTCCTCCCTCCCCAGGCACCACTGGACCAATTACCTTTGAATGCTGTATTTGGATCTCACGCTGCCTCTGTGGTTCCCTCCCTCATTTTTCCTGGACGTGATAGCTCTGCCTATTGCAGGACAATGATGGCTATTCTAAACGCTAAGGAAAAAAAAACAAACACACACAGAACTGTTTCAAGTACTCAAGACTGACTTACAGACCAACCAACCACCTTGCTGGAACCCTTGCTAGCAGGCATTCTTATAAAAGAAACTTTCGAGCCTCCTTATATTGCTGGAAACTCAGCTGTGCTCCAGACTAGAGCCTCCTTACCTATGCTATGGATTTTTAATTTATTTTCTCTTATTTCATGTACACTGCTTTTTTTGGTTACAGTGTATGATGGATGTGTATGAAAAAAATGTATCTTTGGGAAAACAATTACAGTTTGTTAATTTGAAGATGCTGGTCTTGACTCATCTTTATTTTTATTCGCACATCCCACCCCATCCCCTGAACTACTTGGGAGGTGGGGAGGGGTACGAGTCCACTGTTGCTTTGGTAGAGATGAAAGGCTGCATTTTGCTGCTAAAGCAAGAGAAACGTGGAGCTGAAGCACACCTGGTCCGCCCCTAGATTTCGCCTCAAGGCCTCTGGAGCAACCAGCACTTGCCCCCTTGGAATGCAGAGCCTGGCCTGCTAAGCTACAATGTAGTAGGCTGAAAAGATGGTGTTAATTCTTAGGACTACTTTTCTAGTCACAGATGTTTTCAAATTTCTAAGAAAAAGAAAATGAGGCTCAAGAGGCTGCTTCGTAGAATTCCTTTTGAATGAATGGAGTGGGGATGGGGACACAGTCTCCGAGTGTGTATGTGGTCTTTTCTGATCTCAGCTGTGCGGCTGCAACTCCACTGTTCGTTGGTTCCTCTCCTGGAAAGTGGCTTCTAACCAGCACCGGATGGTGATCATTGGTAAGCTCTGCTCACCTTCCTCTCTCTTGCTTCATTTGGTTTTGTCAAAAAGAACAGGCGTAGCTCTGAAGTTGTTTGGCTTGGAAAATTGTAGATTCTTTCGAGCCATTCCCAAAAGGGTTAGCTTTTTAAGGGGGGTTGTTCTATACACCTGTGTCCTTACCCCAGGCTCAGGAACTGCCAGGGAGGGAAGGTGAGGTGGGGAGTCTATACTGAGATGGAACTGTCAATGCTGTGTTGTATGTACTTGCTGTTGTAAAAGTTTGGGCATGACTTTGCATCTAGCGGGTGCTGCCTGCATCTCTGTCTGTAAGCTTGCTTTGGGACTGAGACAGCCTCTTAGGACCTATGATGCCAGCAGCTCTCAAAGATTGAAATGACAGAGGCCAAGGATGGCTAAGTGAAGACCCAAGTCTCAGAAAACCCAGACTTGGGACAGCTGCCTGGGAACTGTAGGATGCCAGGAGTTCTGCAATGCTTTGAGACACAGCGATGTTCACATTGGCCATTCTGCCCCCCCCCACCCCTTTTCTTTTGAGGGACTTTAATGTTCGCTGCTTTAGGTGGATGGAGAGTCCACCAGTCCCACTCAATGCTGCTCTAACTCTACCCACACCCACCTAATTAGGGGTGCTAATAATATATGCTGAGGTTGAGATAAAGACGAGACACAAGGGGAAAATTCATTCCATAGAGCTGAAATCTGGTTTTCAAGGCCTCTGTGGCTTTCTTCTGAACTTAACACCAGCCCTGGCTGGAATGTAGATTGTGTTTTTAGTAATGTGTACTGTGAGCTGTCTTCTGTATAATGTATTTTGTAATGTATTTTTCTCATCTACCAAAGGATGAAACAAATAAAATTATTTAAATAGTTTGGCTCTAATAAAATTATTTGAAGAAATAGTGAGGTTCACGTTCACCTGACATAGAGGAAAATGCCTCCTCCTGTGAGCTGGAGAACACCAACTCTAAGAGAATCCTCCATTTTTCTTGCCAAACCCAGCACTCCCTTTTATGACCTTAAGTTTAGGGTTCTAACAAAGTGCAAAGTATAAAAAAGAATCAAGACCATGTCATCGTGAAACAGTTTTCTTCTCTTCACTTAGAAGGCAAGGAGAAATGAAAACTCTTAGGTCATTACTCTACACTTTAAATGTATCTACATCCCAGGCAGGGTTTGCATGGCCCAGAGCCCACATGAGCAGGCTCCCATCTCACTGCAGCAGTTTTAGAGGGCAGAGCAGGGCAGTGGAAGGGTGGCTGGAAAGAAATATCAATCACTCCAAACTCATGAAACATGCCAACATTTATTTGCTCATTGGTTAATGTTACTCTACCTATTCTACATGGAATGCCAGGAAAACTAGCACAGGGCTTCTCCATTATCCAGAATCTGTTAGGACCGCCTATATCATGCTCTGGGGTGCAGAGAAGAGACACAGGAAAGAACATCCCAGCTGCCTCAGGCTTTCAACCTAATGGCAGCTTCCTAAGTTGGGTTCAAATGTCCATGCCAAGTTGGGGAACTGAAGACACATGACAAATGGGACTTCACTCTCTTTTGAGAGGTGAGCTGGGAGTAAAAGCAAAATGGAAATCAATCCTGGGCACAGTCTGGCCTTTTTCACCTCCCAGGCCTCAAGGGTTAAAGGGGCAAAAGAGGGCAGGGCAGGCAGCCTCTGGATCCGTGGCACACAGGAGAGGGAACATGCTGAGGGGAGCCCCATTATTTAGACTCTTCAAACTTTAGGATGTGCGACTGGAAGAGAAAGAGAAGCCTTGGTAGGTAGGTAGGAAGGAAGGAAGGAAGGAAGGAAGGAAGGCAGGCCGGCCCACACAGCCAGTTCACCCAACCTCTCAGAAAACCAGCTTGTTTGATCTAAGAGAATGCCAGGTAAATACTATATCCAGGCCTAGGCAGCAGCCGCTGCAGAGACCCCAAGGGCAGGAGTGGAGGGAGAACAGCCAAGTTAGATGCAGAGGCAGTTACCTCCGAGTTCAAAGCACCAGTGATTTTCCCTTTGAGGATTCGATGGACAACCTCATACGAACTCAAAATGTCTGCAAAACAAGACACAACAACAAAACCTCAGTGGCACTGGGCTGGGCAGGAGGAGCAAAGGAGGGAAGCAAAAGGCGGGGGCTGCAGGGCAAGTGCTGTAGCCGCCAGCCAGCTCCAGCCAGCAAGTCTCTGCTAGTTCCTGCTAAATCCCCGCTGCCAGGATCAAGTGAGATGATAAATGCTGAAAAGGCAGCATGGGGGGAGGGCAAAATAACAGCAGATAAAGGGAGGAGGCACTTGTTAAAATAATTACAGGGATCTGGGATTTTTAACAAGAAATTCTAGTGGGGACAGAAAATCGTGTTCAGTGAACTTTGCTCTGAGTTTGCTCTGAGTTTCAGCTAGAGAGAGGAAGGTTAAAGGCAGACATTTTCACCATGAGAAGCAAGCACTCTTACATGGCTGGAAACGGGAAGTGCAGGGAGCTCATCAAAAACCCAGCTTTCCTCCGGACCTTGTCACCTACGCAACTCCCACCATCCCACCATATCCCCCAAACTCCGGGACTGTTTGTATGCATGAAATTGAATCACGAAGAGTCAGACCTAGGTTTCATCCCCAGCTAGGCCATTTTCTTGCTATTATATGAGTTCATTTCACTTTTCTGAGCCGTATTTCCTCATCCATAAAGGGAGGAAAACTGAACACGTGTCTGACTTATCTCTGGGCTGGGGACTCTGGTCCTTCTGACAGACTGGGAGCTGCATTTTGAGACAGGAAGCTCCTCTTCCCTGGGTCACCTGAAGTAGCTCCTGATGCCTGGCTGTTCGCAGGCTGGGCAGCAGGGACCCTCTTCATGCAATGACTCAAGACAACCTCTGGGTGGTGCTCCCTGCCCACTGGGCACAAACCCCACCAGCCTCCCAGGAAGCCCTGGCCCTGCACTTTTGGGAGATGCCTTTCCATCTTTAAAAGACTTGTTTGTCTGTAAAATGTTTCCATCTCAGCCAAGCGTGGAAGCTCATGCCTGTAATCCCAGCACTTTGAGAGGCCAAGGTGGGAGGATAGCTTGAGCCCAGGAGTTTGAGGCTACAGTGAGTTGACTGTACCACTGCACTCCATCCTGGGCAATAGGGTGAGACCCTGCCTCTAAAAAAAGAACTTTTCCATCCTACTTTCTGGGTATGTATGCTTCCTCCCCTCCACTTCTGACTGCCCCCTAAAGCATTCTTTTATCCTTTTACATTTCACCTAACTTTGATCTTAAGAAGGAGCCTCGGGCCGGACGCGGTGGCTGACACCTGTAATCCCAGCACTTTGGGAGGCCAAGGTGGGCGGATCATGAGGTCAAGAGATTGAGACCACCCTGACCAACATGGTGAAATCCCGCCTCTACTAAAAAATACAAAATTAGCCAGGCATGGTGGTGCATGCCTGTAGTCCCAGCTACCTGGGAGGCCGAGGCAGAATTGCTTGAAACCGGAAAACAGAAGTTGCAGTGAGCCGGGATTGCGCCACTGCACTCCAGTCTGGCAATACAGTGAGACTCTGTCTCAAACAAAAAAAAAAAAAGAAAAAGAAAAAGCAGGGGCTTCTCCATTTCCACCTATGGGGAAACCCACAGGTGTCTGAGGCTAAATGAAGCACATTAAGAGAAGACCCTGAGTGCAGTGCTCTGGCCTCTATGACTGGCATTCAAGGGCTAGTTTTCTTCTACGGCAGAATCCTTTTTCCAGTGAATCTGAAGCAACATGCAAAGTGTGTAAAACTGATGAAAGCTGAGCAGCTCTGGTGGAAGCAGGGTGGGAAATCCACCCTCTTCTCTCCCCTCCCAGAGAACTCAGCTTTTGGGCAGTATCTGAAATCCCTCCTGGGATCTTGGGGCTCCAGAGCCCAGGGATGAAAACCAATACCGGAGAAGCAGCTTTGCTGGGGGGTCAGATGCTGAAAATCAGGGTTGGGTGGAAAGAGAGACTGAAGCACCTTGGCTGCCCACTATGCTGTTCCCCACTCAGGTCCCAGAAGCAGCCATGACATCTCCTGTCCCGAAACCCTCAGGAGGAGGGGAGAATATCTCACCTTTCTCCAGCATGAATGGCTGAGTCAAGGGTGGGATGGTCCAGAAGTCATCGCTGTCCAGGCTGCGCAGTGACTGCACAGGGATGGTGGCCAACTGCCCAAAATCAATGAACATGACCACAGCCCAGGTGTCCACCCTGTCCAGCACCCAACACCTGGCCAGAGGAAAGGGGAAAGACAAAGGAAAATCATTGCCCCCAGTGCCACGCAAGGCAGTCCTCGGCAAAGTGGGTGTGAAAGTGGAGGGAGGAGGCCGGGCGTGGTGTCTCAAGCCTGTAATCCCAGCACTTTGGGAGGCCGAGGCAGGTGGATCACGAGGTCAAGAGATCGAGACCATACTGGTCAACATGGTGAAACCCCGTCTCTGCTAAAAATACAAAACATTAGCTGGGCATAGTGGTGCGTGCCTGTAATCCCAGCTACTCAGGAGGCTGAGGCAGGAGAATTGCCTGAACCCAGGAGGCGGAGGTTGTGGTGAGCCGAGATCATGCCATTGCACTCCAGCCTGGGTAACATGAGTGAAACCCCGTCTCAAAAAAAAAAAAAAAAAAAAAAAGAAAGTGGAGGGAGGAGGGAGGAAGAGCGAATTTGTTGTTTCTCCCCGATCCTTGAGTGAGGAAATGATGGTAAACAACGATGATTTTGAGAGAAGCAGCCACAGGGAAAAAAACACAGCCCAAAGGAAGGGAACACGAGGAGGGAGCATTCTCCCTGCAGGCCTCTCCCATAGGCTCTACCCATGCCTGGGGACACACCTGTTCCAGGCACATCCATAATCCCCCAGGTGGTACTCTGCCAGACATCGGGTCCCACGCTGCACGGCGGACTCCTTCAGGTAGGGCTGCTGCTCCTCTGCCTGAGCCAGGGTGCTGAACAGCGCCTGCATGTTCTGGTGCAGAGCCTGTGGGGTACAAAACACAACAGCCCCACTACCTGCACTGCATTACAAATCTGCCTCTACAGGTGTCACTTGTTATGTTAGCACCACTAATCTGTCCCAAGGGAATCAGGTATGAGGTGGGAAACAGAATGAGACTGAACCCGGGGATCAGACTGTAGTTACCACCAGCATCCTCACCACTGACCAGCTCTGTGAATGTGCCCACCCCAGGGAGGCCACACAGGAAGGCACAGGAGCCTCAGGGGGCCACCAACAAGTCCATACCTCAGTGATGTGCATGGCCCAGAAAAACGGGGTCTTTGGGATGATACTAGTCACCAGCAGCCCCGCCTCCCCACGAATGCTGTGGATCAGCGCCAGCCAGCTCAGGTCTCGGAAGCATTCCCTCAGGAGCAGCACCAGGAAGGACCCTCTGCGGGAACAGCAAGGGGAGCAAGGAAAGGAGCGACTGGGCCAACATCTGTCCCGCAGGAGGCTGAGCTGCCTGGGGGATGAGTCCCCTAAGCAGGTGGCCTGTGCCCACCCGCTCCACAGTAGGGGCCAGAGCAAGTTCCCAAGTAATCCCAGTGCACGGAGGAGGAAAGGAAATGCCATTCTGGGGACACAGGGGCTGGAGAGTTCAGAAAGAGGAAGCAGCAGAGGGAAACAAAAACACATCGAGAGACTCCGAGAGAGAGAAATGGACAAAAGTCCCCACTGGGTAGATCTGGGGCCTCCTAAGTGATTCACGGCCTCCAGATGATGCACGTGTGGACTGTCCACCATGCAGGATATGCCTTTCATCCCAGAGCTGCTCCTCTCTGCGATTACGCGCATTCCAAATGTCTCCCTGCTGCTCCACTAACTCAATCACCTGCCTAAACCACATGTGGTTAGCAACAAAACCAAAGCCACAGGCCCCACAGTATTTCAAGTGAAACCAACTATTCTGGCACTCCTGACATGAAGAACAGTATCTGCTGTTAAAGCAAAGCAGGGGCCATAGTGGCATGATGATCTCCTGGCATCCAGGGTAGGGGACAGTCACAGGCCTTTGCTGTACATAGTGGAAACTGATTTTATTATTTTGGTTTTTTTTTTTTTTTTTTTTTTGAGGCAGAGTCTCACTCTGTCACTCAGGCTGGACTGCAGTGGCGCAGTCTCGGCTCACTGCAACTTTTGCCTTCTGGGTTCAAGTGATTCTCCTGCCTCAGCCTCCCGAGCAGCTGGGACTACAGGCACCTGCCACCACGCCCAGCTAACTTTTGTATTTTTAGTAGAGACAGGATTTCACCATGTTGGTGAGGCTGGTCTCGAACTCCTGACCTCAAGTGATCCACCCACCTTGGCCTGGCAAAGTGCTGTGATTGCAGGCGTGAGTCGCCACGCCCAGCCGGGAAGCAGATTTTATAAGTCAGTGTGAGTCACAGCCTTACAGCCTGGGTCTGACACAGGAGTTCCCGAAAACTATCCCCCACCCCAGTACTATCCCTGTCCCCACTCTCGGGTGGTCAGAAGGACATCTGTAGTTGCTATTTGCCCTGGTGGTCTTTCTATACCTTGCTCACCTCATTTCCAAGGGGACTGCAAAGAAGGCTGCCCTCAGTTTCTCTGTCTCACACAGGTCAGCAGGAGCTTTAGGAGCGAGCTGTGTAATAGCTACAAAACAGAAGACTAAGTCCTGGAGAAGCTCCCCGGAGAGGCAAACACTCCCCTCACCCACAAGAGGCCTTGGCCCTGCCCTCAAAGGAAGCATAAAATGGGCCAAGAAGCTGCACCCTCCCACTCCCCAGTCTCTAGATTCTCATCTGGGTGGGGAGGGTCAGTCAGATGATATTCTTTAAGAAAGCATCCTAGGGCTGAGTATGGTGGCTCACACCTGTAATCCTAGCACTTTGGAAGGCTGAAGTGGAAGGATCACTTAAGGCAAGGAGACCAGCCCAGGCAACACAGCAAGAGTCCATCTCTATAAAAAATTTAAAAATTAGCCAGGCATGGTAGTCCTAGCTACTGCGGAGGCTGAGGTGGGAGGATGGCGTGAGCCCAGGAGTTTGAGGTTGCAGTGAGCTATGATCACGCCACTGCACTCTAACCCAGGTGACAGGGCAAGACCTTGTCTCAAAGAAAAAAAGCAAGCAAGCAAACATCCTGGGGAAAGAAGGAGAAAAGGGATATTTCCTACACTAAGGGTCATCAGGGGACTGAGCTGGAAGGGAGGCTGCAACAACTGGGGCTGGAAGAGGTCCATTAGGAGCTGCAAAGCCAATCCTGGAAACGGATGGCAGCACAGAATCTCACCGGCGGTTTTGCCAAATCCTTCGCCAGAAGCCTTCTCTGAAACCTGGGGAGAAAAATGAAAGGTCTCAGTCAGCCATGGTAGCATTTGTTTTATTGATTTCTGTGTTGAGTCACTCCAGGTAGACTGGAAGACAAAGCATTGGCAGCCTGTTCTGACTCTGACTTTAGCTGACTTTTGAGACATCCGCCCACTTTCTCCAACCTCAAGGCATCCTGAACCAACCCAAGGAAAAGGCGATCAGGAGCAGGGAAGGCGGGGCGCAGGGGCTGCTGCCAGGGAGTGTTCTTCTAGAGCTACAGCCACAGAATGAGCTGCCCAGCACGGCAGCCTTCCCCACACAGGGGCAGAAGGCACTGTCAGGATGCTTAGCCTCGTGCCCTGCAGGGAGGAAGAGAAGGGATGGCAGTCACACTGAAGCAGGGCTGGGTGGGGAGAGAAAGACCTGGGTGCCCTGCCGCTCCCCACAGCCCTGCAGCCCCAACCCACGTTGGTCTCCCTCTCTCCACTGTTCTCACCTGAAAAAACCCCAACCCTGGGGAAACCCAAGTATCTGTCCCCCTTCCTACTGCCCTGCATCCAGGCATTTCCATCCCACAACCCCCCGACCCCGGCCCGCCACACGCCTCGCCTCGACTTTTCTTCTCTCCAAAGAACCTCACGTCCTCTCCATTATTCAACACCCACAACTCCCGCCCATTAACTTGTTTCTTCATCAGAGGGCAAACAGGAAGCAACGAGTCAGGACTTGCTCATCTTCTCCCTACCCAAATCACCAACCCCTCTCCCACTCCTGCCTTCCCCACCACCCCTCCCTGGCACACTCGGCTGCACGGACCTGCTCGGGCTCAAGCCCTCACTCTGCAGACCACTCTCCTGCTCCTCCAGCACTGCCTCCCTCACATTTGAGCCTTTCCCACAGGAAACAAGCAGGTTCTAACAGCCATTTGGAAAGACCCTGAGTGACCTCACGCTCCCCTGACCCCTGATTCTGTGCTCCTCTCACTGCAATGCCGCAGTTTCACAGTCTCCATGCTGCTTACCTCCACACTCACATCTGTCTCCTCTCAGGCTTCCCCGAAATGGCCCTGCACAGGGTCAGCACGAACCGATACACTGCCAAATCCAATGGTCACATCCCTGTTCTGAATCCACCTGCAGTGTCCTCTCCGCTCCCTCTTTCCAGAAATGCTTCTCTTGGCGTCTCTGACATCACATGTATCTGGGTCTCCTTCTCTTTCCCTGGCTGGCCCTCTCAGCTCAACTGCTCACCACTGGCGCATCCCAGGACTTGTCCTCTCCCCATCCACCTTCTCTCCAAGGCCAGTTCCAGTGCCACGGATTTAGGTATCAACAATGCAGCACGGACTCTCAAAGCTGCAGCCCCAGCCCTCATCATTCTCTGGAAATGCACTCACATGCAATGTCCACTTGACATGAGAGTGAAGAGGTACACAGACTCAGCGTGTCTGCCACAGGCCTGCCCAAGGAGCCTGCAATCACGAACAAATAAAGCAGATCTTCCCCAGCCCAGCTTTCTCCACTGGAGTGAACTGCATCGTTATTTTTTTATTTATTTTTTTTTTTGTAGAGATGGGGTGTCACCATGTTGCCCAGGCTGGTCTTGAACTCCTGGGCTCAAGTGATCTGCCTGCCCCAGCCTTCCAGAGTGCTGTGATTAAAGGCGTGAGCCACTGCACCCCGCCTACTGCATCACTATCTACAGAGTAGTTCACCTAAGGTCTCTCTCTTCCAAGCTCCCTACGTCAAACTCATCAGCAAGCCAAGCCACCTCCTCCTCCAAAACACACCCAAGTCCATGAATACTTTTCTCTGTGTCCATACCCACCACCCCAGTACTTGCCATCTCTTACCAGGATGAGAGTAACAGCAAACAGGACACTCTGCTGCAGCACCTGCCCCTACAATCCAGTCACCCGAGGATTGTGATCTTTTTCAAACAAAAAGCAGATCACATGATACCACTGGTTAAAATCTTCCAACATCTCCCCATTGTGCTTACAAATGAAACCCAAAGTCCTGACTTTGGCTCTCAAGGCTGCACCAAGGGACGCCCCTTCCCGTGACCTCTCCGCCTACTCCCCTCCCCTTCACCCACCAGGCTCATACCCTGGGGCACTTGCAGGCCTCCCTCTGCCTGGAATGTTCTCAGTCTGGTCTTCAAGTGGCCGGATCTGAGCTGGCATTCAGATCTCAGTAGAGATGTCACTATCCCACAAAATGGGCCTCCCTAAGAACCATCTAAAGAAGGGACCTCTCGCCCTTCATCACATCATCATATTTTAGTTCTCCGGCTGCTACTCATGATCTGGTATTTTCTTGTTTATTGTATCTTTTTTTTTTTTTGAGTCGGAGTTTCGCTCTTGTTACCCAGGCTGGAGTGCAATGGCATGATCTCGGCTCACCGCAACCTCCGCCTCCTGGGTTCAGGCAATTCTCCTGCCTCAACCTCCTGAGTAGCTGGGATCACAGGCACGCGCCACCATGCCCAGCTAATTTTTTTGTATTTTTAGTAGAGACGGGGTTTCACCATTTTGACCAGGATGGTCTTGATCTCTTGACCTCGTGGTCCACCCGCCTTGGCCTCCCAAAATGCTGGGATTACAGGCGTGAGCCACCGCGCCCGGCCGTTTATTGTATCGTTTACCACTGGAATGTAAACATCACAAGAACAAGAATGACAACTGTCTTCCAACAATTAGCTTGATCACGGAGGTAACACCAGGGCCTAGAAAATGCCTGGTGCATACTAAGCTTTCGGTAAATATGTGCTGAATAAAAGAATCAAATAAGAAATGACCTGGGGGCCGGGCACTATGGCTCACACCTGGAATCCCAGCACTTTGGAAGGCCTAGGTGGGCAGATCACATGAGGCCAGGAGTTCGAGACCAGCCTGGCCAACATGGCAAAACCTTGTCTCTACTAAAAATACAAAAATTAACCAGGTATGATAGTGGGCGCTTGTAATCCCAGCTACTCGAGAGGCTAAGGCAGAATGACTTGAACCCAGGAGGAGGAGGTTGCAGTGAGCTGAGATCACGCCACTGCACTCCAGCCTAGGCGACAGAGCAAGACTCTGTCTAAAGAAAGAAAAAGGAGGGGAGGGGAAGAAAGGGAAGGGGAAAGGATCAGCCTGACCAACATGGTGATACCCATCTCTACTAAATACAAAAAATTAGCCGGGCGTGGTGGTACATGCCTGTAGTCCCAGGTACTTGGGAGGCTGAGGCAGGAAAATCACTTGAACCTGGGAGGCAGGCGCTGCAGTGAGCCAAGATGGCGCCATTGCACGCCAGCCTGGGCAACAAAAGTGAAACTCTGTTTCTTAAAAAAAAAAAAAAAAACGCAAAGGTTCGTGGCCAGAAGGCTTGGAGGCGAGAGGCGAAGGGTGAGGGGGGAATGGGGAGGGATGAGGGGGGGGGGGGGAGGCAAGGCGAGGTGAGGTGAGGAGAGGAGAGGTAAGAGAAAAGACAAGAAAATAAAAAACGATCTGGGCAAATTCTTCCCTCTCCAAATCTTGGTTTCCTCTTCCACACCAGGAATCCCACTTGCCTTGATGTGAGGATTTAGTTGGGCTCAGGACAATGACATGCAGTAGGTACTAAGAAACAGAAACAGCATGACACAGCAGTTACAAGTGCGGATTCAGGAGTCAGGGTGTCTGGGCCACAATCCTGGTTGGGGGATTGACTGGCTGTAAGTCTGGGTGAGTTTCTTGGTGTTCACATCTGCAGAATGGGGTAGTTCCCAGCACCTACTGCGGTAATTAAATGAGTTCATACAGCAAAACAATTAGACAGTGAGTCCTCAGTGAAAGTTAACTACTACTGTCAGTCAATGAAACACTGAACCTCTCCTCCGTTAAACCAACCACGTGTTTACCCATAACAAAGTCAAGCCACAGTGCTAAAAATTGGCCCCCTCCAGGCAACCACATAAGGTGCCTTTTTATTCAGAATCTCCTAAGGCAGTTCTAAATACCAACCCCACAAACCAATTATCACCAGCAGTTTCGAGCTAAAAATGATTATTAATACAGAAGCATTTTACATCATTTTTGGTCTAATTATTATTCCCTAATGATTTAAGAGATAAATATAACAAGCCTGTTTTGACAGTTTGCAAAATTAAGTTCCAGAGGAAAATCTACATAATTATCATCCAACAGCCACAGCAGGCACGTCACCTAAACACAGAACTCCAATTTCCAGATGTGTCTGTAATACTAAGGTAACCACGTGGAAGCCACAGAGATCAAGGCGGCACCTCAATAGCTGCAAGGGCAGCTAATTTTAATTAAGTTCCATTGTTGCTACAAGCACAGTCACCCTCATGCCCACATCAATCAACAGCTGTTAATTATCCCTTTACTTTGTCCTGGGACATTTCTACCAGCTGGCCAAGTGTTCTAAGAGGAGCACCTGCTCCAGAGCAATGCTGGGGAGTCCATGCAGTGGGAGAGGAAAAACAGGAATGCAAAGGTTGGCCGGGCACAGTGGCTCACACCTGTAATCCCAGCACTTAGGGAGGCCGAGGTGGGTAGATCACCTGAGGTCAGGAGTTCGAGACCAGCATGAGCAACATGATGAAACCCCGTCTCTACTAAATACGAAAAATTAGCCGGGCATGGTGGTGCATGCCTGTGGTCCCAGCTACTTGGGAAGCTGAGGCAGGAGAATCGTTTGAACCTGGGAGGTGCAGGTCGCAGTGAGCCAAGATCATGCCATTGCACTCCAGCCTGGGCAACAAGAGTGAAACTCTGTCTCAAAAAAAGGGAGTGCAAAGGTTGGTGGCCAGAAGGCTTGGAGGCAGGACGATCCATCCAGTCCCCTCCACACGCCAGGGAGAAGTTCTTAAATACACTCAGCAGAGTACAGCCTCACAACACCCAGAACACGGGCAGCTTCCCAACCTGCAGCCTGCAAGTCTTCTCACTGCCACAGCCCTGGGCCGCCTCTCTTTAAGCACCGTCCCCCACCCCACACCACCCCTACCTCCACCAACCTAGGGAGCTGCACCTGGG